TGCATATGTTATACGGGAAATCAATGGGCAGACTTGTTTACAAAAGGTTTGAGTCAGGGGAGAGTGGACTACATATGTAACAAGCTGGGATTATATGATATATACTCACCAGCTTGAGGGGGAGTGTTAGTGAAGGGGTATTTCGGTCTTTGTACCTGTTGAGAGTGCTCATGTGTATTATTATGTTAGTTCGAGTGCCTCTTACTTAAATAAGGGCACTTGTGTCTTTTCCAATTACATTAATAATATAATAACAGGTCTGGCCAAAACTAGGGTTGACTTTTTCCTATTTTCGAACCAGACCTTTTCTCTTCTCCTTCCTCTTTCTTCCTTCTTTCCTCACTTTCTTCTTGCTGTTTACTTTACTTTTCAGCTAACAAACAAAACAGACTTCTAGGGCAGGCCGAACTTTAACAATGTGATCTTTCTTTTCCTCCCTAGGCTCCCATAGAAAAGATCTCATTATCCTCTCCAACTTCATAGCTTCCCTATTAGGAATCCTAAAGATAGAGAGAAAATAGACTAGTAGGTTTGCAAGGGTAGCTCTCAATACAGTCACTATACCCCCTATGGAGATGTAGTTTTTTTTCCAAGAAGCTAATCTTTTCTCRAACTTTTCCAGAATTGGGGTCCAAAATCTACTCTCCTTTGGGTTAGCCCCTAGAGGGAGACCTAGATACTACAAGGGCCAAGAAGAAATGGGACAACCTAAACAATCTGCCACAGACTGAAGAGTCCTCTCATTCAAATTAACCCCTACCACACAACTCTTATCTAGGTTTATCTTCAAATTGGAGACATTCTCAAAAGTGTTGTAACAATGTTTTGAGATTCCTCACTTCCCGCCTGTCACCCCCTTCACAAAATATTATGATATCATCGGCAAACTGTAGGTGGGTTACCCGGACATTGTTCCTTCCAATCCTCCAACCTCTAACTTCCTCTTCCCTATCTGCCTTAGAGATTAATCCACTGAAGACATCTGCAACTAGGGTGAAAAGAAAGGGGGAAAGATGGTCATCTTGTCTAAGGCCTCTACAAGCTGGGAAAAAATCTTTCACCACCCCATTAACCAAGACGGAGTAATGGCAGGAGCTAATACAGCCCTTCACCCAATTGCACCATCTAGCTCCAAACCCACAACACCCTAGGACCTCAAGCAAAAAACTCCAATCCACAAGATCATAAGCCTTCTCCAAATCTAACTTACATACAAAACCTTGAGTTCTTAACTTTCTCATGTCCTCCACGCACTCATTTGCTATTAGGATCTGATCCGTTATTTGCCTTCCCTGCACGAAAACACCTTGTTCTTGACTGATGATGGAGAGTAGTACTACTCGAATTCTCAATGACAACACTTTAGCCAGGATTTTATAGATGCTTGTCATTAGACTAATTGGCCTATAGTCCTTAGGGTTCTTTGCATCTGTCTTCTTTGGGATTAGGGCTAAGAAAGTAGCATTGACTCCAGAGCTCACCGTGTTTTTATCTGCAAATTCCTAAAACACCCCAACAAGGTCTTCTTTGACCACATCCCAACAGTCCTGATAAAAATCCATTGAAATGCAATATGTTTTACATCACATTAACTACTTGAAGCGGTGCAAGTAAGGAAAAAGAGAGATTTGGGGTTTTTCATGCTTGAAAATGCTTTATATGTTTGCTTTTAATTTTAAATTTTCATTTTGAATACACTTTACATGTTATGTTTATGTATTTTAATTTTAGATAATAGGTTTTTTAAATCATTTATTTTAAAATTTAAGTTTATATTTTATTAACATTATGTTTAATATTTTTTGAATTTTTTGCATTTTTTTTATTTTTGGCATTTTTTGAATTTTCTGACTTTTTTTATTTTTTAACTTTTTTTGTAATTTGGTGTCTTTCTTAAAAAGGCGTGTGCCTCACCTTGCGCCTCGGGCACAAATTGGCCCTTGCGCTTTTAAAACACTATGTAGTGGACAGACGAGTGTAGGTCTGATTTGTGTTGCTCAAATAGGTGGGTTACATGTGTTACAGTGTGAAATGAGTGTTGATTGGTTGCAGACCTATCACTATGTGTGTGGGGTATATTCAGGTGGTTTTGTGATGTTGAAAGTGAAGAATAGCAATGACTATTAGGAAACTATGACAGTAGATGTTTTCAGCAATAACAAGTCATAAATGCTCAGTGTCGTGATAGTAAGTGAGGTGGTGTGACATACAAGTGAGTGAAGAAAAAAAACGGAAAAAAAATCATGGCAGCTATGGGACACAGCAGTGAACACAAATCTAGTGTTACAATTCCCCTCCCCACCCCCCAGATCACCTAAATGTGCAAATGCATCTATTAAACTGAATGGTGAGAATTATTTCCACCCATTTTCCCTTTCTCATCCCATTCCATCCCATCTGTTCCCATCTCACCAAAATCTTCCCTGAAACCAAACACAGCCTAAGTGTAGAATAGAAAGAACCAAAAATTTATACTGTGAAGCAGAAAATTTACCTTTCTGAATGAGCTGAACCATCTGCAGAAGTCAAAACTGATGCATATCCACGATCATATAGAGGTACAGAATCACCATCCAATGGGATAAACTCCTTACTTTGCTGTTTATTTGTTTGGTTGTCCATCCAGAAAGACTACATGCAAAAGAGGGTAGAAGAACAGTTGAAGGTAAGGTCGATCAAACAGAAAATTGCAAGACAACTTTCACCAATTCTAATGATAAACCACAGTCTTAAAGCAAAACTTCTATTTGGATATTCAATAAAATTCAACACCAGGCGAGAGAGAGAATTCTAAATAGCGATTCTTAAATAAAAAATTGTCAAATTGAACAATAGATAACCAACAAATTGAGAAGCAATACACATCCTAGATGTGGATGTTGAGATAGAAGTTTGGAAATCAAGAAACATATTATACAGGAGCACATGGGTAGCACCTAAATAGGTGATAAAATGGAATTGTGAATGCAAAAATGCACAGGTAAAAGGAGCGACTCATTGTGCAACTTGAAGGTTCCAAAGGGATGATAGGGAAACCAAAAACAATACAGGTTAAAGAAAAAAGAAAATAAAAACAGAATTGTTATTTCATTAACATATGTGAATAGTAGAAGACCAGGATTAATCTAGCAATCAAATAGATCATACAGGGCTTAGTTGAATTAAGGTAAATGGAGTAAACAATAGAAAAAAACCACATCTCCAGACACTTTGAGGTCCATTACAATATTTAAACAAAAGCTATTTTAGCATTTGAAGCTAATTTCATTGTATTCAGTTGATATGAAGAATTTAATAAATGAATAAATAAATAAAGTGACTTGTCACAATTGCAATTCTAAAAAGGTGTTTGCACAGAAGCACAGAAGATTATGAACAGCACAAGCTATGAGTAAAAAGATGCATTCCCAAATTTATCCACAAACTTGAGGTGTGCTATCAAATATTTTTATGTTTTTATTTTTTATTTGTAACAAATTGAATTGTTTCACTGGAAGAACAGTAAAACAGGTGAAGAAGATGAGGTGATTAGGCTGGGAAGGAAACAGGAGAAGAAGATGAACTTCGTTCAGGTGAACAGATGGTGAAGAGAACTAGGGATAAAGAAGAAGATGATTCTACTCGAGGAGTCTAAAGGTAGAGGAAAAACAAGACTCAAAATCAGAGAAGACCGGACAGCAATGGTTTTACTGGACATGGAGGAGTTAAGCTGGCTTAAAGGCTTTGTGGATGGATAAACCTATGCAGTGAAGACATCAGGACGGAGGAATGAGCCGGTTAGAGGTGGAAAGAGATTATTGGTAGAAAACAGAAGAAATAGGAATGGTTGGTTCATCACAGTAACAGAGTTCTTTGGCAAAGGCACAAGGAAGATGATTTGACCCACCAGCTCCACCCACTTTGCCAGCTCCATTGTGTCCTTCCTCTCAGTTTTTTACATGATATGATGATAGCACCTACAACAGCACAGGGAGATTGATTCCATAGCAAAGGAACCCACGCCACTCCCTATTATCGGAGATTCCAAGTTCAATTGACACAGACCCAGGTATGCCTCTTGCTCCCTCTGATGGTTTAGTTCCTTTTGATACTATCACCCTTGTTCCTACCACCATTACAAATGACCTAGACCTTCCTATTGCACTCCAGAAGGGGAAGAGAAAATGTACAGCTCATTGCATATCACATCACCTTTCCTACAATGGGTTATCTCCCTCCTATCAGGCCTTCATTTCCACCCTTGACTCTGTGTCTATACCCAAGAGTGCTAGTGAGGCTCTCTCCAAACCTGAGTGGAAGACAGTTATGCAAGAGGAATTGAAAGCATTGATTAAAAATCAGAATGTGAGGTTGTGGATTAACCTGATGGCAATGAGATAGTTGGATGTAGATGGATTTATACAGTGAAATACATGGTTGATGGAAGCATAGAAAGGTACAAGGCGAGGCTGGTTGCAAAAGGGTACACTCAGACTTATGGGATAAACTACTTGGAGACCTTTGCACCGGTGACCAAGATGAATTCAGTTCAGATCCTCTTATCTCTGGCAGTTACCTACTCTTAATGGAGACTTGTATGAGGTGTACATGCACCTTCCAACTAGTTTTTACAATGATGTGGCCAAAGGAAAGGTATGTAGGTTAAAGAAGTATTTATATGGTTTAAAGCAATCACCTAGAGCTTGGTTTGACAGGTTTAGGAGTGCATTGACTATATTTGGCTATACTCAAACTCAACCTGATCATACTCCGTTTGTGAAGAGAAGGGGATCACTAGTGTCAGTGTTGATAGTGTATGTTGATGATATTGAGCCATAGGAAATGATCTAAGTGAGATTGATATCTTGAAGATGAACCTACACTAGGAATTTGAGATTAAGAACCTTGGGGAGCTGAACTATTTTCTGGGCATTGAGGTGGCAAAGTCGAAACATGGGATCTTCATTTCACAGAAAAAGTATGTTTTGGACCTACTATAGGAGACGAGAAAACTTGGGGCAAGGCCAGCTGATACACCTATTGATCAGAACCACAAGATGAATGCTTCAGATGGTGAGCTAGTGAAAGATGTTGGGAGGTATTGATTGGTGGGCCAGTTGCTATACTTATACATGACACGACTAGATATCTCTTATGTAGTTAGTATGGTAAGTCAATACATGCATGCCCCACGAGTTCAGCACTGGAAGACTATTCACAAGATACTTGTCGATTTGAAGGGATACCCAAGTAAAGGCATACTATTTGTTGACCATGGACATTTGAAGTTAGAAACTTACACAGATGCTGATTGGGCAGGGTGCCTAGATGACAAGAAACCCACATCAGGAGTTTGCACCCTTGTTGGAAGTAATATGGTTTCATGGAAACAATGTTTTAAAAGCGCAAGGCGCAAAAAAAGTGCAAGGGCCAATTTGCGCCTCAGGCGCAAGGCGCTAGGCGAGGCGCACGCCTTTTTAAGAAAGGTGCAAAATTACAAAAAGAAAAGCTAAAAAATAAGAAAAAGGTCAGAAAATTCCAAAAAATTAAAAAAAAAATGCAAAAAATAAAAAATATTAAGCATAATGTTAATAAAAAATATAAACTTAAATTTTAAAATAAACGTTTTAAAAACCTATTATCTAAAATTAAAATACATAAACATAACATGTAAAGCGTATTCAAATGAAAATTTAAAAATAAAAGCAAACATATAAAGCATTTTGAAGCATGTAAAACCCACAATCGCTTTTTGTCCTTAATTGCATTGCTTCAAGTAGCTAATGTGATGTAAAGCATATTGCATTCTTGATTCTATGAGTCGCCTTTATACCACGCCCCTCGAGGCAGGCCCGAACAAGTCTATGTTAGGGTTTGAAATTCTTATTTCTCACATAGAAAATAATGATTTTACAACTTCCATTGCCTTTTAAGAAGATAATTTATTGCAATGAATGAATGAACAACATAAGCAAATAGGGGGTTCTCGAAACTTCAGTGAGCGAGCAAAGCGAGAGAACCGGAGCAGAGAGAGTCCCCTATTTGCTTATGTTGTTCATTCATTCATTGCAATAAAACATCTTCTTAAAATGCAATGGAAGTTGTAAAATCATTATTTTCTATGTGAGAAAAAAGAATTTCAAACCCTAACATAGACTTGTTCGGGCTTGCCTCGAGGGGTGTGGTCGGGGGTCCGGGGGCGAAACCCCCGGCCCATCCGTTAGACTCAAAAAAAAAGCAAAAAGCGCAAAATTTTAAAAAGGCGCACTCCTAGGCTGAGGCGCAAGGCGCATCAGGCGCACGCCTTTTGAAAGAGGTGCACCTAGGACCTAGGCGAGGCGCATACCCCAAAATGCACCTCGCCTATGCGGTTCAGAATACTTTAATCACAACTTACAAAACTTTCAACCGCAATCTAACAGTATTCCCTTTACAGACTCATATGATCTTCAAGTCAATCATGAAATAAGGGCAGTTATAGATAATTCTGGGCATTAAGGTACTTGAGCATATACTGATGATTCTGGCTTCACAAAGTTTATTGAATAATATTTTTATCTATAACAAATATTTAATTAATAAAAGTGTCATATTTTAAGATAAATGCAATAACCTGGGGGGTTAAAGATCATAATTGGAGCAGCCTTGCGCAATTAACTATATAAAAGCACATCCCCTTTATATCAGACACTTGAATAAATCAAATTACGTAGGAAATATAACTCATAATATAGAATAGAAGCTTCACGCATATAACTAGGACTTTGGGTTTTCTGAAGTAGCTATTTCTGAAACATTATTACTCTTGCAACATAAGTCCAAAATTGAATCAACAAAACATCTGATAAATTCATCTAGCACAATCAACAAAAAGAAAAATACCATAGTGGAAGACTTCTCCAAGCCAACATGTATCGCAGGGAAGTAAGTACCTTCGCCTGATTCCAATGCTTCTTTTGAATCCTGACATTATTAAAGTACATAATTAATTTTTGTTTCATTGACGAACTACAGAAAAATCGGTAATTGTCTAAAATAAATAGAGATGCTTTGCTTTATCAGTGCACCCAACCATACACATGAAAAGAGCCAGTAATCTGAAACAATATACAACTTACCCTCGTCAAGACATTTATGATACAGAAATGAATGCCAGAGAGACCATTGCTGAAATAGTAGTCAAAGTAAGAGGAAAAGTAGAGAGTTTTATTATTTATAGTGAAATGTGACAAAGGTAATAGTGACTCAGATACCCTATCATGGTTCAAAGTATCAATACACCTCTGTGCATTGGCAGAGGTGTATTGGCACTTTGAACCACATGCCTTCAATATTTAATAACAAAGGGTTCCCGAAAACACCTGTAAACAGGTGTATCAGGCACCTAAAGATATGATATATCAATACTTTGAACCTTGTACCCTATTTTTTCTTAAACCACCAGGCACATCTCTAGATAAATGATTTAAGATACCCACCCCTCCTGAGAAAAGGAGAGAACGGTATATACAATTCCTCAACAGTAGGAAGACAAACAAAAGAATGTATTCTGATGCCCAAAATATGGACAAGCATCTCCCCCTACTACTAAAGATTTCTCTTTATGTAATGATAACAATTAATGCATAAAAGATGCCAATTAACAAAAAGTCTACTCCATGGTTTAAAATGTCCATAAATTCCCTAATATTTTGACAACATATTTTCCATTCCATGGGTACCAACATGAAGTTTTACTAGAATCAGCATATTATCTCTAGTACTACACTACCAACACTAATGTGGAGTACTAGAGATAGTATTATAACACAAGTTGGTGACAATATTGTGGATATGTAGAGAAAAAATGTTATTACCTGCCTAATGGACATGAGTACCAATTAATACATAAAAGATGCCAATTAACACAAAGTCTACTCCATGGTTTAAAATGTCCATAAATTCCCTAATATTTTGACAACATATTTTCCATTCCATGGGTATCAACATGAAGTTTTACTAGAATCAGCATACTATATCTAGTACTCCACTACCAACACTAATGTGGAGTACTAGAGATAGTATTATAACACAAGTTGGTGACAATATTGTAGATATGTGGAGAAAAAATGTTATTGCCTGCCTAATGGACATGAGTACCACTTTGACCCAGCTCAATAGTATTTACAAACATTAAATTTTTTTTGATAAATTTTTCAAAACATTAAGTTAAAAAATTAGTTTTCCTTTATGTAATAGATTATTTGGTTGATCTAGTAGAATCATTTGCATTTTCTATGAGTTTAAATATTGCTTGAACTCAAGGTTTACAAGACAACTTCAGAACGTATTAATTTCTTTATAACCTTAGTTTCTTAGTTTTGTTTAATGATTTGGAACAAAATAACAATTTAAAAGGTGTGCTTACACTTCTTTTATCATTTCATAAAATATCATTCTATATTTTTGCATATTTCACAATGTTTTCACCACTGTAGATCTGAAATTTCTCTAATCTCATGTCAAGATATTTCAGCCATAAAGCGCCTTCCTTTTCAAACTGCCATTTAACCCATTCCATATCTAGAATAATTCTCTTCCTTATTTTCAGATCTAACCCACAGTCCCCACTGTTACCAATCACTGGTGAAATTATGGGACACTTTCTTTCCTACATCACTTACATCAGATGAAGACACATTCTGAGCATGCCATTGTGACCATTGTTGTAAAAGTTCCTCAAGCTTTCTTTTGCTAGCCCTGAGAAGAGAAGGAATCATGTTGAGCATAAATATCAATTTGCAAAGACCATTACATCTTAAGTAGGTAAGAAAATATAAAAATTAACTATACTTCCTTACCTATTCATCAAAAAAATTATAAAAATTAACTATTTTACTGAGATACAGCAAGGATATGATTGGGTACAATATCAAATATGAAATTTACACTAGAACCTGAAGCATCTAACACAATATGGTACCCTTGTAAAGGTATCTGGGTAACATAGCAAATTAATTGTTTGTTCAAGAGAGACTATACATGCCCAAACCTTGTTAATGAATTATATTTGGCATGCACTGAAGGATTCCCGTAACTGTAAGTCACTCGAGCTCTTTTAACACCTGTTACAGCTGGTTGGCAGTAATTATGGAAAAACAAGGGATAAGACATCTGATAAAATGCTAGAGACAGCTACTATTATTAGGTCACAGACTAACTTCCATGAACATGCTATAAAGCATTTTATGGAGTAAGCAAAATATGGTTCATTCTTACGTTGTTATAATAGACTTAAATTGCCAAATTATACCAAATTCAAAAGTAGTGCTCCAAATTGATTAGTCCTTCCAATTAGTACAACAATGTAAAATACAGAGCATAAAAGTTAACCAAGTTACAGAAGGATATAGCCCCCATCTATCATATGGTTGCTGATGGCACTTCCATTTTGGGCTGCTGGACTTCCCATTTCACCATTGGTTGCTGAATTGACTTTAATCATCTTCTCTTCCATCGCAATGGTTTCAGTCAATTTAACATTCACTTCCAAAATAGATCGTTTTTGAACCAAATCCTCATCAAGATCCATATCCTGAACATGTTGGAAATCTACATTTACACTGTTAATAATGCCTTCCTCAACCTTCTCAATTATGGTGTCTTCTTTATCCTGGGAACAACTAGGTTGACAATCAACTTCACTTGGCTCAGAGAAAGAATTATGCAATTCATTAGCCTCATTGCCAGTGTCAGTACTGTTATATGCATGGAGGTCAATAAAATCCTCAGTTCCCATGTTTAAACAAACAAGCAAGTCTTATTGCAGAAATCCAACCATCAAGTGAAAATCTGTAAGACATGGACCTTTGTTAGCAGACAACACAAGAAAGTAGAGTGTCATTACCATAACATTATAAAAAATAAATAAGTGGGCATTTACAATCCAGAGAATGAAATGTTTAGTTTTTCATCATGATTCCATACATATGATTACATCTAAAATTGATTCGTTATCAAAGTTCTGATAAATTTAGAAATGACTTTTTTCCTGAAAACCTATAAAGGCTAGAACTATTACATTCAAATTCATAAAGGCATTCTTCTATTGAATATTTTAGAAAACGAGTTTCCAATCCTTAAAGCAAATATGAATGAAGTTCCATTCTACAAAGTTTCCACATGCTTCATAAAAAAACAAATTATCAGCATCTTGGTCATCACCAATTTAATTAACTTGTTGAAAAAAGCAACCAGGCTTTTTGATTGAATTTATCTTCAATAACTTCTGTCTAGGAGATTACATGAAATTCAAAAACATGTATAGGAAGTACATCCACTCCATGATATTCAATGACAACTAAAAGAAGATTTCATTTGGATAACCGTCACTTATCCAAAGGAGTGACTACCCATACTACTGTCACACCTCTAGGATAAAGGAGTGGTTTGGCAGCTGAGAAATGAGTTCAGGCAATTTAAATGGCTTGGCAGACAGCCTTTGTAAGCAAGGGGTTCAAAAACAACAGATGTTTTGGGCACATTTGTACTCAGTGAGGGGTTAATTATGTAATGGGTTTGTTTTTTCACAACTTCTTGTTGTATTCTATTGTTTTCACTATTAATAAAATTTATTTCTGTCTTGCTGATCAAAAAAAAAAGGTGACAGTTAAAAATAATTTATTAATGTTTTTGAGTTGATATCAAAAAAATATCCACATCCTTTCAATTTAGCTATCACGTGGTCTACAGTACTCCAGGCCTGGCCGCCTGGGAGCACTTCTCCAAACTGAAATCCAAGAGTCCATGGTCCTTCTCCAGCTGATGCCATCCAGTCCAACACTACCTGGCAGTCACCCTCAATCACTAACTTGCTCTATCTTGATGCATAGGCAAGTTTCAAATCCTCTACGACTGCAATAATTCCGCTCTTTCCTTCTCCAGCAAACCCAATGATGCAGGAGATGAAAAGTCAAAATTGGAATATTGTGAAATTTTATGCATTTCTGTATTTTTGGACAGTAGGAGTGTTTTTTGTTATTTTACAAGTTTTCTGGGGGATCCAATGATAGGATTTGATTTCTGTGTTTATAGATTGTTTATGTAAAAGTTTCAGTCATTGAATAAGTAGGATAAGAGTTATCGTGTCTTCTTTGAATTGAAATAGGATAATGGCAATTCAGTTTGAGTCCTACCAGGATTGTTATGAACCAAACAGTTTGAGTCCTAGGATTATTATGAGTCTAGAGTCTATAAATATGTATGGACGTTCTACAAAAAGATCAATAAAGTTTAATGAGTTTTCTTGAGCTTATGATAATTATGGTGAGTGATTTACATACCCTAGAGTGATTCTAGACACCCCATGAATGATACTAGGTATTCTCTCCTTTCTTTCTCTCTTTATTTTCTTTCTTATACCTTCAAGAAGCCATTACAACCACCAACAGCCATAAGTTTTTTATCAAGAAGGCCATTCTACATTCTCCAAGGACTGGGACTGGGTTGGTTCTACATCAGTTTGGTATCAGAGCTAATGGTTATTCACTATCTTCTACAAAGTGACTGATTCTATAGGTCTAGGATATCTTCTAAACAATCTTACAGGTCTAGAATCAATGATGATTGGGTTTTTGAACCATATGAAGAGTCTCTGGTTGACTTACTTGAGAAAATGGATGAAGAAAGCAGATCCAAAAATGTTGACTACGAAAGTAAGGTTTTCAAACATATTAGAAGAAAAAAGGAAATACCAGATTTCAAAGGAAATGGGCCTGCAAGTATTCTTTGATTGGATTGCTGAACTAGAAGAATATTTTGACTGAAATGATATATCTGACAAACAAAGGATTAGATTTGAATGCATTAAGCTCACAAGTCATGCTAAAGTATGCTGGTGAACTCTTGAGCAACTAGAAAACAGAGGTGATGATCCTATTGCTACATGGGTAGAGATGAAGAGGTGTTTGTAAGAAAAGAACATCCCACTAGACTTTTATGATGATCTATATATAGAGTTGACTAACCTCATGCAAGAGAAGAAGCAGCTGGTTACAACAAAGAATTTGAAGTCAATGGGAAAGAAGGTACAAAGCTGAAAATAAAGTAGATGATTCTTTGCATGTTGATACCTTGATACCTATCCTAGAGCTAAATTTGAGGATGAAACTAAAGAACCAGAATTTCAAGCCATAGAAGTTGTAAATATTGAAAATCAAGCGGGTGCAGGCCACGAAAAAATAAAAATTGTTGAAGGAGTTCCTAACGCCCATGATCAGCTGGAGGTTAATGATCAAGAAGAGATAGAGGGGAAGTTAAAGAAATTCAGGTGCAAGATACAAATGTGTTGATTATAGCAGATCCTAGTAAGGAAGTAAAAGACTTTACCTTACAGGTTCAACTAGAACCAATTCAAGAATTACAATTTACAACCTGACTTGGCACAAGTTCCGCCAACATCAACAATGGAAGAAGTCCTACAGTTTGCTGAAGAACCAAAGGTAGCTGAACACTTTTTTTTTTTTGATAAATAACAACAATTCCATTAAAATAATGAATAGATACAAGAAGATCCCCTTAGAGGCGCGAGGAGCAGCCTCTCCAAACAGCAAAGACACAAACTACAACAGAGAAAACATGAATGTTGAAATTTAAAAAATAGTTACAATTGTGCCCAAAACAATGTTTCCCTATTTATCCCTTGTTTTGCCAAGACATCAGCAAAAGCATTAGCTGATCTCCCAACCCATTGTACTGTTAGACATATTTCTTGTCAGCCATTTGAATTTCTTTAACTCATTTTTGTAGCCCCAARTGACATCCTCYGGATTATTTAACCAGTCCACCACTGTCTTAGAGTCTCCTTCAATCAGAAGCTGCTCCACGCCCACTTCTTTTGCAAGAAGTATTTCTTGTATTGCAGGTAGCTGAACACATTGAGATGGTGATTCCTAAGCTAGAGATTGAAGGAAAAGTTCCAAATGTTGCAACTGAGATTTTGAATATGAAAGCTCATGGTGATAAGCAAGGGGAAGATTCACCACAATGGCAGATTGATAATTTAAGTGTTCAAGGGGCTAATGTTACTTATGGTTTAACAAAAATGGTTATGGAAGGCAATGTTTCAGATATGCATTTCCTTCAAGATCCTTTTCTAATTATCCGAGTGGCATCTACAGTCCAAGTATATAGAAATAGCAATGGAGTGGAACCAGAAGAGGCTCCTAGAAAGGTAGAGCTTTTTTTCTGATGGAAGATGGTTTTCAGTGTAGCCTGCAATGTTCTCAACCTGCCGTTGACCTTGACAGTTAACCCTTCAAACCGTCATCCGGTAACATTTTTTGTTCTGGTTTCACCAAAACCCATCTTTTAATGAAAAACCATTGACCCAGACAGCTCAGTTAACAGGCAACGATTCACAATTCAAATTTATTTTTAATTTACAACTTTTAAGTTTAAAAATTTTTTAAGTGCCAATCGTGTCCCAGCCCTTTGCCCGATGTTTTCGTTTTTCCTTTTTTTTATGGGAAACGGTAACTTTCATTAATTCTTTAAAAAACTTAGTACAAACTGTCACCTTCAAAAACAAGGCGACCCCTCATCGATATTACAAACAGGCCCAAAAAAGGTTCTGCCTACTAACTCCTTGCTTTGCTACAGTATCGGCCATTGCATTGGCTGATCTCCTAGTCCATTTAAACCAGACTTCAAGCTCTCTTGTTAGTTGCATAATTTCCCTTAAGGGTGCTCATGGTTCGGTTAACCAAATCGTGGGGCTCATTTTGTAACCAAACCAGTAGCAACGGTTTTTGGAAAACCGGTAACCAAAACCTATCAATTAACCGGTTGACCGGTTCGATTCATTGGTTTTTCGGTTTTCTTGTAATATGTCTTGGGCTCAAGAAGGCCTAGTTGGCCCGAGTCTTGTTGTATTTGGCTTTCTTATAGAATAAAATTACTTTACCTTTTTCCAAAAATTATAAATTATAAATATATATATAATATTATATTTTAAATAATAAATAATATATCATGTATTATAAATATATATGCATATTTATTAATTTAAAATATATAAAAAATATATATAATATACATAAATATATATGATATATAGAAATATATGTATACCGGTCGGTTCAGTTAACCGTTGGTTTTCTGTATTGGTTAACCGATCGGTTCCTTCGGTTTTTTGAAAATACCGAACCGATCGGTTTGGTTAACCAATTTTTCAGTTCGGTTTCGATCGGTTCGGTTTTTCGTTTTTTTTTTCTTTTTTTTTTTTGCTCACCATTAGTCTCCCTTATAGGTTGTCTAAGGGACCAAGCACCCATGTTGTTTGTTTGCATCCAATCTATTACCAGTTTTGAATCTCCCTCCACTTCCAACTACTAAAAACCCAGTTGATTAGCCAATTTGAGCCCTTGTAGGAGTGCCAGAACTTCTGCTCTAAGAAAGTCTCCCAAGCCTATCGGGCCAGAATAAAGGGTTAGGACTTTTGCTCCCCAATCTCTAAAGACACCCCCAATTCCAGAGGGGCCTGGATTACCTACAGAAGTGCCATCAAAGTTTAGCTTAACAGCCACAAATAAAGGGGGCGACCAGTCCTCTTGAATAGCTAAAGAGGGGTAGGAAGAAGCTGCCACTGTTCTCCAGCGATTTCAGCCAATGTATAACCTTGATAATGATCCCTTCTATGACTTCATGTGCTGATTTTTCCTTCCCTTGAAAGCTTTTGTTATTTCTCTCTTCCCACACTGCCCGAACAACTACTGCCCTCATTGTTCTCCACACTATCCTTTCTCTTTTCTTTAGCTGATGGAAAAAGCTAGATTCAAAAAAATCCACCACGCTTGTAGGAGGAACCCACCTGTACCCAAAGAGAGAGGAGAACCTATCCCAAATAAGAGTAACAAAAGGACAAGAGATTAGTAGATGATTTGTTGCCTCACAACTCTTAGAAAGGCTACGAGCATGAGGGAATAAGAACCAATTCGGTCTTTTTTCTTAAGCAAGTCCAAAGTGTTGATTTTTTGGAGAACCACTTCCCAACAAAAAGCCCTCACCTTTGAAGGTACAGGAGCACTCCACACTTCTTTTACAGGAAAAGAGTAAACTAAATTGGTATAGTGCACTAAGGCATTAAAGAAAGAAGAACAAGAAAAACAACCAGAGGACTGTTCAAATCAAATTCTATTATCAGCACAAGATTGGTCCAAAAACACCGAGTTTAGAAGAGAGAAAATATCATCTGCCAACCCTATTTCTAACTCCCTCAACCCTCCCTTGAACCCTAGATCCCACGATTCTCCAGAAACATGAAAGGTAGAGATGACTTTAAATTTGTTCAAGAACAAGGAGTAGAGGGCCAGGAACCTATCCTTAAGAGGCTGGTCCCCAATCCAAACATCCTCCCAAAAAAGGGCCTTATTACCTAAACAAGTGTCATACCAGATGAAAGGAGAAAAGGTGAGCATGATACCAGCATCTCATCCATTAGCTGCCAATCCATGTATGCTTTCTATCACTTTATGCCACAAACTTTCTTTCTCCTTGGGAAACCTCCACAATCACTTTCCTTGTTCATGTTAGGGTTTTGTTGAGAAGAAACAAAAGAGGAGCTTTTGTGTTTAAGAGAATTGAGATCGCACCATCGCTGAATGAGGGATTTAGTGTCGACAACTCTAGTGGTTATCTTGAAGACCTGCAATCAGATTTGGATGATTCACATTCAACGTTTTCACCCTTTGGTTGGGTAAGTATTAATTTCTTCATTTTTTTTTCTAATATTCAAACATTTGCAATTTAAGATCTAAATCTAATCTAGTGTGATTACATTCAAACAACGACCTTCTAATCAAGATTCCTCAGTGGCTGAGAGTTATTGAAGGTCGTTGTTTCATTGTAATCAAACTAGATTAGATTTAGATCTTAAATTGCAAATGTTTGAATATTAGAAAAAAAATGAAGAAATTAATACTTACCCAACCAAAGGGTGAAAACGTTGAATGTGAATCATCCAAATCTGATTGCAGGTCTTCAAGATAACCACTAGAGTTGTCGACACTAAATCCCTCATTCAGCGATGGTGGATGGGATCATCAATATCGTCGGCATGGTCGCCGATGGGATCACCAATTCGTATGAGATTTTGGTCACTGGAACCCCTGAACCTGATTCAAACGAGAGCATTACCAAAGTCTATGATTCTGGAACATAGCGATGGGAACACCATTGTCGGTCCCAACTGGAATTCTTGCAGTTTTGGTATGAAGTTCATGCGATTTGGCACGACGGTTTCTTCTATTGCCTCGCGACTCCGCTCAATACTTCGCAAGGTTACCACCTGATAACTTATGATATGGGGAAGAGGGAGTGGACTTATTTGAATGTGAAAATGCCAGCGGGTGATCTCCGGTGCCCGTTCTCCCTGGTCTCTCTCTCTGGTTCTGTGTTCATAGTAATGAACCCGCTGGAGAACGGGCATCGGACTGCTTCTGTGTTCATAGTAATGAACCCTTTTGAACACAGAAGCAACAATTGCTTTACCATTCTTGGAATAACATATTATTCACAAAAACACAGAGCACTTATTAGTCAAAGAAGGAATCACGCATTCACGCAAAGCCCACTAACCTGTTCGGTTTCTCGTCGGACAGAGCGATTAGCACCGTCAGTCTCGTCACTGCCACCGGGCTTTTCTCTGTAACAGAGATGGAACAAATATCAGGATTGATGCTTACTGTAAGAAGGGTTGCTTGGGTGATGGTTTAAGGCTTCTCGAAGAGATGGAACAATTATCAGGGATTGGTTCGAATAAATGGAGGAGGATGAGGTATAACACTTGTGGGGGTACTTTAGGCATTATAAAAAAATATAAAAAATTATTAGGGGAATCCGTCCTATTTTTTTGAAGAATTACTTCTTAAAAAAAAATCAAAGTTACTTTGTCAAAGAAGTACTTCTTTTCCATTTTTTTACCCAGTACTCATAAATAATTAAAAACCACTTGGTCTCATGTCTTAAAAGAAATACTTGTTAAAAAAAGTACTTTTATTTGTAAGAAATTAGTTGAAGAAGTGCTTATTTTAGGCCAGGACCATACCAATAAGCACTTATGTGCATTTATAAAATAAGCCCAAATAAGTGTTTTTTCAATAAATAAGCCCACTTTGCGTAAATTCAAAATTATTGTATTTCTGGCCTGTTTTTGCCTGCCATGTAATTTTCAAAATACCTGTACTACCTCCCTTTGAAAGAACTGTTTTTCACCAAACATTTATAAGCACCTTTTAATAAAAACTTATTTATCCAGTAAGTACTTTCAAACGGGGTCTAAGACCAGTTCTATTACTTCACAAATCTAGCTAAACCATGTTACAGTGAAGTGAACACTTACCGTTTGTTTTGGAGCTGTTTGACATAAACATTTGCCGTTGAAACCAACAGTGAAACGGTTGGCCTTGTAACTGCTTGACATAATTGGGATTTAGGAAATCCATACTGTTTTGGCTGGTGAAGATATGACTAGTATAGGTTCATTTTGACCCGATTTCACGAGTCCATTATATGATAATTGATATATGATCTGTTGACCACAACACACTCTTAGCCATGGTATCATTCAGTTGCATGTTGAGAATACTGGTGATATAAACTACAACTGATGTTGTAGAGATGTGGGTGGATGAACTGGCCAGCAATGTGTTGTGGTTAGCAAATTAGATCTCTTGATACTTTATGCGGGTACCCATTTAATATATGGGTATTATATTATATATAATATTATTGGGAACCCGTGCAGTGCACGAGATTTATCAAAGGAAAAATAAATAATTAAAACTTATAACTAAGGAAGGAATGCGATGTTGTTTAAAGTAATTAAATCTTTATTTTAATAATTGTTACAAAAATTATTTAGTAATTTGGATTAATTATATTAATGTTTTCTAACAAAAATAACAAATTATTGCTAATTACTTAATAAAGTAATTATTATTTCATACTATCTATTTTGTTCTTATTTTATTTATTTTACTTTATTAATGATTAAATGTTAGAATTTTCGTAAATATCACTTAAATATTTAAAATACTTAAATATTAATAAATATATAAAATTAGGTTATATTCATAATTGAATTAATCTAAGCCAAACCCAGTGTTCAAGACTTTGGAATAGGATTGGATTGATCCTCATCATAACCCAACCCACCCAAGTTGCACACTCTATGACATTCATAATTGGACTGAACCAAACTAAGTGCAACACATGCATGTATTGTTTTTGGGTTTTTTTAACTTTTTTTAGATAACATCGAAGCCGAAGGAACTACGCGGGATGGGCTACCCTCATTGTGTAGTCCAATGAACAAAAAAAAAAAAGAGTGAAAGATCTTGGGCCGAATTTTGATAGTGTATTAACAATCAATTTTTAAGGTTGCATGGCTTAACCTGACCCACACCTAAATTGTAATAATATTTGTCTAGGCCTAGGGCATGGACATGTTTGATTGTGTTAATTATAAAACTATGATTTTTTTTACAAATTATATTTTTTATTTAAGTTCCATCTATTTAAAAAATATATAACATATATATTAATATTAATTTTTTTATCCAAATATTATATAATAATATTTATCATATATGTATATTGTTAGACAGTGTATGCCCTTAGCTTCAATCTATTTAATGTACATTATGACATTTATTGTAAATGAATAAAGTACATATTTGATTCATGTTATATTGGTGTGTTTCTGTGTAATACCCTTAAACTGAACACTTATGAGACGCGTGTTATTTTAGAATCTTCATAGTCGTTGGATAGATCTGGGGATATTTATCCTGCCAAGATTGACACTGATGTGCCACCAAGTTGGTTGGGGTGGCTTGTCTCAGCTGCTAGGGTGAGACTTGAGGTACATGAAGTGTGGGTTTTCTTGAAACCTTGAACCAGACCAAATTTCAATATTGCCTTGGACCTTGGAGACAAATGGGCAAAACTAGAATGTCACACCTGACCCTATACTCGATTATGGTACTGCACTAGGTGTCGGATTGGATTGTCTTTGATATGCCAATCAGTGAGATCCTTAGAGGGGGTCAAAACTTGGGTATGTTGGGGTAGTCCGAGAATTCACCTAAGTGGGTGATCATATTGACGTGATCAGCCCCTTTATCGGACAAAGTGAATGATCGGGGAATGCACTCTCTCTGATGGAAACCTAAATTGTCGGCAATTGATTTCAAACTTTTTGAAATTTGTTTTGCAAAATATATTTATAAAGAGATATACATATTATATATATATTATATATATTATGGTTTCAAAATGTTTGCAAATGGCTTTAATTCTCGGGATCCATGTGAGTAGAAAGTGCAACACTGTTCCTTGTAGCCGAGGGAGAGGTCCTCTCTTGTCGGAATGTGTTTGATCATTATGGGCTGAAAGGTTAAGTGTAAGACCATTGAAGGTAATACCTGATGGGCTAATCTTGCATCTGCCCATAGTCCTTGGGTTTTTATAAGGTGGTTTGACCCAAGGACCATTTAGTGTAAATGTTGGGCCCATTAAGAGCCCATGGTAATGGACTCAAGGGTTCACTGTCTCCTACAATGAATTCGGCCAGGCCTTGTAACAGAGGCTGGGTTAAAACCATGTGCCTGATGTATAGATCAATGTTTGGGTCCCACGCCATACAAGGATATCCAACTGGGCAACAGTTTGGAGGATAAGTGAGCACTTGGACTAAATGGGCCTAAAGCCCAATTCGAATTGGCTTAATTAGATTAATTAAAGAGGGGTGGTTCTGGGATTTAGATCAGCAGATAGGATAAAGGATTGTCCCTATCCACTCAGAGAGTCCAAATCCAAATAAAGATTTGGATAAGGAAACTCCTAATTGGATTAGGAGGGCTGATCTTTATCTGTAGATAAAATATGGAATTATCCTTATCTCTTAAAGAGAGTCCAGATTCAAATACAAGATTTGGATTAGGAAACTCCTAATGGGATTAGGAGAACCCCTCTTTAAGGTTGTAAATAGAGGAGGAGGGCGAACCCCAATTTATCAATCAGATTACTGATACAAGAGAGAAGACAACTGTAGTTGGACTGATGCCATCTTCTGCTCTTGCCTTCTCCATTTTGCTGTCGCCATTACCAGTTCGATCTCCACCTATAGGAGCGATCAAGAAGGGTTCTTGATACCACCTTTTGATAGAAAAGGTGATCTGAAGTCGTGCTCACTTGCCCTCCATCAGATTCTTGGTGAAGAATCAAGTTCTTGCTGAAGAGCCATCCTACTAATTCTGCTCCACCCTACGTTGTGTCATATTCAGTGGGAGCAGTCTTTGGTAATTTCCTTGGGCGTGAACACCTTTGTTGGGAGTTACTGTTACTCCGTATCAGGTATATCCCTCTCCTACCTTTTGGTTTCAGATCTGGTTCGGTTTAGGTTCAAGATTGATCCTTGAAAAGGCAGTTTTCTAAAATAAGGAATGTGATTCCCACATGGGAGAGAGAAATTTTTGAAATTTCGCCCAACCTACCTGCAGGGTTCGGCCATCCATATGATGGATCTCTCATACCTTTAAAAGCAAGTTAACAACTACTTACCTTTCCAAAAGTTGGATTATTGTCTAATGATTTATTTTCCCAAACATTGAGCTATGGTTTCTATGCTTGATTTAATTAAGTAGTCGAATAGGACTACAATCAGCCCTAGGTTTAATGTGCAATAAACAAAGAAAGATTAAGAAGAAAAGAGTAGAAGAAGAACTCGAAGAAGAGAATTCAAAAAAGAGAGAGACTCGGTCAATTGCCGCCCCACTGTTACAATTTATATTAATACTCGAGTAAAAGTGAAAGGGTTGAATTACCCTTACTGCTTTACATGGAAAAATAATAAAAAGAAACTAATAACTATAAACTGAAATAAACTACCAACGAACAACCTAAATAACTAACTGCTAACTACAATCATACGAGCACAGCAGGGACCACGTCAGTGTTTTCTACACTCCCCCTTAAGTTGGGAATAGATTTTCATTCCCAACTTGCATAGATCTGCTTCTAACTTCTTTGAATTAGCCCTGGTGAGAAGATCTGCAAGCTGCATGTTGAAGGTGATATATGGAAGACACACTTCTTGAGATGCAACCCTTTCTCTAATAAAATGTCGGTCCACTTCAATATGCTTAGTTCTGTCATGTTGTACCGGATTATGGGCTATATTAACAGCAACCTGATTATCATAGTACAACATTAAGGGTTTTTCATAAGCAATACCCAACTCCTCAAATAGTGATTTCAACCATAGTATTTCAGCTACACCATTTGCCATGGACCTATATTTAGCTTCAACATTAGAACGAGAAACAACGTTTTGTTTTTTACTCTTCCAAGAGACATGATTACCTCCTACAAAGGCACAATATCTAGAGGTAGACCTACTATCATTAACACACCCAACCTAATCAGCACCTTGTAAACTTATATCTTCATGTGATCATTATCTTTGAATAGTACACCTCTGCCTAGACACCTCTTCAAATATGTCAATATCCTCTCAACTGCAAGTAAGTGAGTAGTTATAGCCTGACATGAACTATGGCCTGGCACGACATAGGCTTGGTCTATGGGCTGTGCTGGGTCGACCCCCCAACTTATCCCAAGGGAGGGAGGCACTATCCGCTCTTTGTATGGGCAACAAGCGGGCTGTATTGTGTCGTCCCAGCGCAACACGATTTACACCTCTAGTTATATGTTAGGGTTTGGTTCCAAATTCTTGGAACCGACCCCC